TAATAATAATAATAAATCTCTGATTTAACGAATCGTTATAAACGTCACTTATTTATTCAGAAGATAATCCGTGTTTGGAAAAAAAATATATATAATTTTCTATATAGACGTGTGAATGTGCATGTTTATATATATATATATACATATTGTATATATATATATGTATATATATAAATACACATAAGTACGAAGCGTCGAGCAATCGGAAAGTTGGTATGACAATCGATTATTAATTTTTCGAAATAAATCATTTATTTCATCGTTATTAGGCCATATTGCAATGATCCATTGAAAGGAGAAAATAAAATTACAAAAAAAAAAAGAAAAAAAATGCAAAAAGAAAAAATAAATGAAACATTATATCTTTCTGTCTAACTAAAAGTATTTTCACGGTTATCCAACGGTTGCACGTTGAAAAATATACAACTTTCATCGTCAAATAGGATTTTAAAATAGCTGTAAATTCGATCATAAGATAAATTTATGAATAATCCGTCAGATTAAGAAAATTAAAATGTAATACATTCATTAAAAATTATACAACGTATATTGAACGCATTTTGAACTCGTGGAATTGGCAGAGCTTTCTTCGTTCTTCGCTACACGGTGCAAATTTATACATTGAACTCCCACCCTTTATTCCTAGACCTATTCCTCTCTTTATCATTTTGATTTTACTTATGTCGACAAAAAATACTTCATTTAGAGTTATCAAAATAATTTAAATTAATCGATAACTTTTTAAACTCGTCTTGAGCAGAGATTTAGGATAAATTAACTAATATAAATAGATATGATTGAAATTTTATACATCTAATGATATATAAAAAAAAACTATACTGATATGCTTGACCTTAAAGATAAGTTCTTATCGAAAAAAATATTTTAGTTTTTTTCTTTTTCAATTATCCATTTTAATGAAAGTATCATAAATTTTTTTAACATACTCAAATTTTATTACCGATTATTTTTTAAATTTTAATGAAAACTAATCGATTCCTGTTAAATATATATTCCTTACTAATTTGACGATAAGTAATCTACGTACACAATATACGAAGTGAGATGGTTAAAACGTTCATTTTATATAATTTTTTAGTTATGTATCTCCTTTGCGCGATAAAAAAGTGAAAAAAAACTGCATTATTCGTTAATAATTTTAACTCGTATAATAGAAGATATTACATATGAATTTAAATATAAAGGGAAGGTTCTTTCTTTCATAATCATAAAAGAAAATGTAGAACATCTTAACAATATTTTTACATATTCTTTTTCTCATCAATTGTAGTACGTAAATACGTAAACACATCTAGAATAAGTGAAAAAAATTTATGAAGTATAAAATTCATTGATTTGATTAAAAAATATGTCAAAAAACATAAACCTTAATGTTTCTTGAGTAATACCATGTATAAGATAGCACTTTATAAACATTTACTTATTTCCATATAATATAGCAATAAATTTATGGACATTGGCTAGTGTATTATGTCATCAAAGTAACGCGAACGATTTATTATTTTCTAATTGGGATGCAGCTTTTTGTGTTAGCTACGTTAATAATAATTACTAGTATAAAATATTAGTTTACGAAGAAATCATATGGTGTGTGTGTGTTGTATTGTATTGTATATATGTAAAAAAAAGAATTATTTTATTTACAAGTTTCGTTATCTCCATGTATGACGATGCCCCGTTTTAAGTATATTAAAGAAATATCCCTCACATAAAAGCATAACATGATAACACGATAGATATGCAAAATTAGCGCCACGCTACACATCGTACAACACTTTGGCAAACAATGCATCATATGTTTTTGTAACGTAAGCCATTTCTTATTTGAACAATCAGTTCTAACAGGTAATCGTTTGAAAGTTTTAATATTGTCCTTGTATTTTCTTAACGAAATCTCGTTAGAATTATCGAGACAGAGGTAGAATATTTGGATTTGGTAGAAAACACCTTGCGATATCTACCACAATACACGACTTCACAGTAAATTGTCATTATTGAACGACCATCGGCGAATGTTTCATTGTGAAAAAGATATATTTTACAAATAAGTTCTATATAAACGATTAAATATATATGATACATGGATTAAAACATTTTTTTTTCAATTTTCTTTTCCTTGTAGTTTCCATTTGCAGAAGATAAATGTAACAAGAACATATACACAGCTCTCTCTTTTTCTCTGTAGTTAATGATATTAAACAAACTACAATACGTCCATTAATAACATCCTTTAAAATGCCTAATTAAACATGAGTAAATCGTTTTATTCAATATGAAAATCATCCAGTCCAATAATTTGTGATTTGTCAAATCAAATTACAATAATTATGCGTCTCGATTCGATTCACTCAAGTCCATATAATCATTTAGGAGAAATAAAGAATTTATCTAATAAAATAATTTATAATACAAACTGTTTACATTTCCATTAAATACGAGATAGGAAAACCTGCATTTCATTTAACTAATCAATTATGGTTTCCTATTAACAAAGATAATGTTAGTATTGAAAATTTTGTAAAGTTTTCATTTTATATTGTATTAGAAAAATTTTTCACATGCATTTATACTAGCCATAATAACAGTGGAATAAACGGAAGACGCCAATTTAATCCCAATTGACATGCTCCAACACCGATTATAATAATATTAAAATAGATTTAGATCTTTGACTTTACTTTTTAACTTTTTTTACACACAATTTTTTGAATAAATTCTATTTTCAATAATTTATGTAGTCAGTGTATAAAAGTTTGTTGCATAAACATTATTAAAATAAAAAAGTATTCACTTAAAAATCATATATTGTCATTTAGAAAAAAAAAAAGAACGAAATGTAAAAAGCAAAGAGAAATAAAACAATTTAAAATAAATTTGTTAAGTAGAAAAAAGCTTCGAGTCAGTTTTAAATGAAATTCTTACATAATCATTGATAACAGTTTTATAGACGCGTATTCATATAAATTAACAAATCATTAGTAAGTTAGTGTTGGATACATACGTTTTAATAATGAAGAAAGTGGACGAGAAAGAAATTTTAAAAATTTATTATCCGCCTTTTCAGTCCACTATCATAATTATCGGCATTATAAATTGTTGATTTCATCATACTTTAACTCGTGTCATAAAGCGTCAAATTGTGAAACACTATGGCATATTTACAAAGTATATTTTGTATATTTTGTCAGGATCTTTCAATAATAAGATTCTTTGTAATATGAAAAGTTTCTTTATATTATATGGCTAAGTGTATTTCTCACAAAACATGTAGCTTTTTAATATTTATCACTTCTGCTGATAAAATTAAATCCTGTTTCGAACGATTCCATCATAGAATCCGCAACTTTATCGACATTCGTGAACATAATGGAACTAGAGCAATCTAATGACTGTGTTGAAACTGAAATATGAAATCGTTCAATTTAATTACATTTAACTTTAATTATCCGGCAGTGTTTCTAAAAAATCATACATAATGTAAAATATCTTTTTTGACGTATTAGTTATTCATACCTGTTGCATACGTCCACATTCCTTAATATTTGTTGCTATTTTATCACAGTTCCAATCGATATGCCGATAAATTCTTTCCAAGTTTCTTTGGAAATAATATCTCTATTATGCAAGCTTTGAAATAAAGAAATAGAAAATAACAGATTATCATTACATCAATAATTGTATTAATTTCGGTATATGTGCCGTTATTATTTTAAAAAATAAATTACTTTTGATGTTGAGTCAATAAATCAAATCATTAAATTTAAATGAGTTTTCATATAAATTTGTAAATATCATCTCTGCATAAATATAATTTTGAAAGTTTGATTCAAGATACATTCAAGGACCGAAAAGTGAGCTGATGCTTTTAGCATTAAGATTTAAATTTATAAAATAGCGCATTGCATAAATTTGAAATAATCATTTAATAAAATGGTATTGCTGAAAACTATAATGATCACCGTGTAGTCGATTAATTTTCAACACCGTCAATTCCACGATTCTGTGTAAGTTCAATTCATATTAGGTCATAAAAGCGAGTCAATATATATACCGACAACGGGGCTTAAATCGAGCTAGTGAAATCTCGATCGTTACTACATATTTTTTATTTCTCGAAAGAGAGGAACCATATTCCTTTGTCTTCTTGCTATTTATAAAAATAATTTCAAGCCGCCTTAAAGGGGTAGATGTTTCTTAAGACTACCTATTTTATGCTTGCATTAGTTCAAATCGGTACTTTTTCCTTTCCTTATCTAAAAGTTTCAAATAAAATACTAAAGATCACATAAGTGCCAGTAATTATAATAGTGAATCAAATCAAATAAAAGCAAAAATTTATTTTATGAATTATTCAACAAAATAAATCAAAATAAGTTTTTGCAATATTTATATTTAATCCATTACTGATACATATGTCTCATTAAACGTAATGTTTCATATAATCGATTTTTCATAACACATCACTCAATAAGTTTCCGGTCTAACTAAAAAAAAAAAAAACAAATTCGTTTTTAGAAATTCCAATTTATTCATTAACATACTCTCCTTCAAGAGTGATACATTCATTCCAACGCTCCTCTAACTTTTCGATGCCCTTTATGTAAAACGATTTATCTTTGCTCTCAAAATAGGCCTCAGTTTCGGCAAACACTTCTTCATTTGGGCCAAATTTCTTTTTCTAAAGCATTTTTTTCATGACTGCAAAAAGCCAGTAGTCGCTGGGGGCCAAATCTGAAGAGTACGGTGGGTGGGGAAGCAATTCAAAGCGTAATTTATCCAATTTAACCATTGTTAACGCGTTGTTGTTTCTGGTCCGGTGTGAGCAAATGCGGCACCCACTTCGAAAGCAACTTGCGCATACCCAAATTTTCATGTAAAATTGTAAAGATACTACCTTCTGATATCTTCAAGGTGTCAGTTATCTCACGCAGCTTCATTTTATGGTGTTTTAAAACTATTTTGTGGACATTTTTTATGTTTTCCGGAACAACTGCCGATTTTGGGTGACCAAAGTGTTCAGCATCATTGGTGCTTAAATTCAGCATACTAGTCAATAATAGTTGATTTCTTTGGTGCAGAGTTCCCATAATACTTATCAAGCCACTGTTTGGCTTCAACAGTATTTTCCCCCATCAAAAAACAGTTTAACACGTTGAGTGCTGCGTCAGTCCTTAGGGACTGACAGTAAACTTCGTTTGCTGCAATGAATTTTTATACTCTCGTGGCTTTTTCGGACTGATCGTTTCTTGGTGTTCGCTCTTTTGTCTCTCTGACATTCCCCATCCCATTATCTTATGTTTAAACATTGTATGCATGTGCATTGGCTGTACTGTTGTCACAGTCCAAACGACAAAAGAAATTTTGACACATGCTGTTTGAAAGTTAATATTACGCGAAAATCACATGGGTCTGTCAACAATGTTGCCATATACAGTGGGTGTAGAAAGTATTCATACAAAAACAAAAAAATTGGCAGAAACATACGAGCAATAAGTATTCGTCCAGTTCTTTTATATATATTCGTATTTAAATTACAATGTAAACACATTACTAGATTGCTTTCTTGAATGTTTGTTACTTTTGATTTTATAATTGCCGCAACTCTTCTAGGCATTGAATTAACTAAAATAATTTTGATGTTCATTGAGGTGAGATCTTGTTCCATTTCTCCATGATCGATTTTTTAAGGATCTTTTACAGGAAATATGATGTATTCTAATTTTGCGTTTTAAATAATCCCACAGATGTTCTATTAAATTTATATCTGAAAATTGCGGAGAAGTTTTTAGATACTCGGGTATATTATGCAATATCCACATTCTGGTATTGTAAGCAATGTGTTTTGGGTCGTTGTCGTGCATAAAAATAAAATTATCTCTTATATCCATTTGTTCTGCATTAGAAGAAAGATTGCATTTTAAAATATCAATATAGGTCCGATGGTTCATTATTCCGTCAATAAATTTTAATGTGCCAACACCAGTTGCACTCATGCAGCCCCAAACAAGTACAGAACCTCTACAGTGTTCCATTGTGGGTCGCAAGTTTTCTGGTTTTAGGCTTTTCATTTTTTTCCTCCATACAGTGCAGCGTCCATCGGATCCAAGAATATTAAATTTACTTTCGTCTTAAAAAATAATTTAATTCCAGTATTCCATTTTTTTAATGTTATTTCCAATCTTTTCTTCCTATTTATTTCATTTACGAAATTTAATCAATGAACGAATACTTTCTACACGCACTGTTTATGTTAGACCTGTGACTTATTGAGTGATGTGTTAAACATCTATAACATATATGTATTTCAAAAGTAAAAAAGAAATTAATGTGTCATTAATTTTAAAATTATTTGATGTTAAATTATAAGTCACTATTAAAATACTGAACAATATGGACGATAAGCTTATGTCTCAATCGAAACAATACAATTATATTTTGACTTATTTAGCCCATAAGGATAGAAAAAAGTTTTGATAAGTACATGCAAGTCATATTTGTAGACTAGCCAATTTTAAGGTGTATCTACCCCTTAACACAGGATGATACCGCCGCAGAGCCGCTGCTACTGCGGCTGCGTTGGATTGTGTTGAAGGGAAGGTGGTGGACCCTGCAAAATATAAAATTATTAAAATTTTATATAACTAATAAATTAGAAATATGATAGCAGCCAAATACTTACAGGCAACGCGGGAAAGGGTGGTTGAGAATGTGCATGAGGGTGAGGATGTGGATGTGCTATGTGGGCAGCTAAATGACCAGGTAACTTTGGTCCATCTTCTGCTTTTTCTTCTTCTCTTCTTTTCAGGCATGCTGCTTTTGGATTAAGATTTCGTTCTACGAAAATGAGAGATAATATTTAATAATACTAATGACATATTTTCTTTATAAAAAAATAACATAAGTGAACAAAGTTATACCTCTAACTTGCTGTTCAAGTGTCATGATAACTTCAACAGCCATATTAAGGATACCAAGCTTCGTTTGAGGTTTGTCTGTCTTTAAATGTGTCATACACATTCTTCCAAGTTCTTTTAAAGCTTCATTGATGTCCCTAATACGTATCCTGTAATGAATTATATAGATCCATTAGGAAATTATTCTTTTTCATTAGCATAAAAAAATATAAGAATTGAAGTATCCTTTCCACCCACAATCTTTAAACTGTATCAAATACAAAGAAATTTGAACATACAAATGTTATATATATATGTATAAATGTATAACTACTACAAAAATATCCACTTTCAAGAAGAATCTTCTATTAGAATCTTCTTATAGATCATTTAAAATTTTCATATAATTAAAGACAAAATCAGAACATCGTTGTCACGCATACATAGAATACGGGCCACATATAACACTGGATTAATTAATCACATAAATGCATCAGTGCATTTCTTTGGTATGCGCTTACCTTTCCCTAGCATTATTTGCTTGTCGCCTCTCTCTCTCCCTTTGCGCTTTCACATCAGGGTCGTCATCCTCATCTTCAGCGCTCGAACAACAGTTACGCAATAACAATACTTGATTAATCACCTGACATAAGTAATTTTATAACCTAAACTAGTTAATGAAAATAATTTACCATCGTTAAGATAGCAGACGAATGTTTAATTTTAATTGAAACCAGTAGATGAACTCTTTCATAGTTTAAGCTTATAATAAAAATATAATGATTACCAGTTGTTCGAGCAGGATTACCATAATTTTCATTAAATTATACGTATATTATATTTCATGATAACATATTAATGAACACACGCAGCTGTTTTTAATCTGTGAACTGTGGTCATGAATAAAAAAGTAAGTTCCACTTTCGAAGGCCCGTATTCTTTGCACTGAACATATCGATGATGAATATCTACATTTATTATTAATTTACAATAATATTTCTTGGCATTTGTGGATAAAAAAATCTTGAGCTCATATTTGATGTCATTACCTAAAAAATTCAGAATGCATGATTTTTCCTCTTAATGAAAATTTTAAATTATACTTTGATAAAAATGCAATTATGTGTTGCACAATGAAGCATATAAAAAATATTTTATTCTACCCTTGAATACTATACAAACAACCAATTTTCCTCTCATTCATTAATTCAGCACAATAAGTAAATAAAAAAATATAAAATAATATTTGTTTTTTTATTTACTTTTTTTTAAATAAACGACAAGAAATAATTTCACCCGTGATTACAAATAAATGATGCCTAAAAAATAATTTGGCACTTGAACATCTGCATATAGAGTGGGAATAAAAAAATACAAAACTAAAATAAACTCTACGTAAATGGAGAAATCAATGCAATATTCAATCAATGTTTAACATAGTGCCGTATATTCTAACAAAATAGCATGCCTAGGGACCGAATCGCAATCGAATTAAAATGAAACTGATTTGCAGATACGCACAAGAGATTGTTTTTTTTTTTTAATTATAATTTATTTATTTTAAATATTTTTTTTCTCTTTTACTTATCTCGTTTCGTCTTATTTCTGACGATAACCAGCAACATTTTAATTTTCACGCTCGAATACGGGCCTTGCAGTGCAACGGATTTCAAGGTTTTAGGAATGTCACAAGGACGTTTTAATAATCGAAAGTTTATGCATGCCAAGTTTAAAGAAGAAAATGTAATTAATTTCGTAACAATATTCTCCATTTACGCCACAAATACATATATACATATATGTATATATATAATTTATAATAGTAATATAGTGCATATATATTTTATAGAAATATTTCTCTTGTGCATGTCATATACTTTAGAATTTATTAATAAAATTAAGATGAATCGTAGCCTGAAAATAATTCAGGATAGGTGGTGGATAGAAAAAATATACATATAATATATGTTTCCGTTACTTTATGAAATCCATTAATTCGTGAAAAACCTAGGTTTTACACGAAATAGCTATACTGATCTGTTAAAGTATGAAAGAAGGCAAAATTACATACTTCAATTAAGTAATATTTACAAAAAACGAATAATCCAAGTATATAATTGATATTTAATCCTAAATATAAGAAAAATATTCTTCGGTAACGTTTCAATATTTGCCTATACCTGTACTGTTGTAAATTCACAGACAAAAAATATGTGTTTCTTTATTTTAAGGCTTATTCAATTTCGAGATAGAGCTTTTCTATTGAATTAATAGATAAATATAAGTTTCCTTTGAAAACTATGAAAACGAAAATAAAATAAAGGCGAACAATGAGTGCACGTAGTTATCCATTCAGTGGGGCATAGGGTTTTCACGATTTAACTGAAGTATACAATATAACGGTACTATATAATATATATATATGTATATATATAGAAAAAATAATGGATTGTATAAAAAAGATGCAACAATGTGTGCATACTGCGTGTGTTCACTAACCTTTCACGAACGTTGTTGGCTTGTCGACGTTCTTTTTCACGCACCGCTTTGGTGCCAGGATCATCACAATCTTCGTCAGCACTCGAACAACGGTTTTTTAAAGACACAAGATGTTAGTTCAGGTAAGTTCAAAAAACTTAATAGGTGAGCTAATTCAATGAGTATATTCACGAGAATATTTGAAAAATAAATAAATATAGATATGAAAGAAAGATAGAAAATCCCAAAGATTATTTTATATAACTAAAATTACTTTTAATTATTAAAAGCTTTTTTGTTTTTATTTTACACCTATTTTTTCTGCTCTAAAAATATATATATTTATAACAAAAAATTAAATAAAGAATCGTACGTAAGAATGGTTAAATAACAAATCATTGTATATTTTCATTTTCCCGTGTTCACAAATTTGACTTATGTTAGACAAAATGAAAAAATAAAAAAGAGAAAAAAAAGACAAAATTATTCAATTCGGGAATAAATAAGCTTTAAAGATACTTACTACCTACGCGACCTTTTCGTTCCTTTTCCTTGTGACGTCGAATTAACTGTCGTCGTACCAATTACACCAGCAGCTGCTAATTCGCTACTCGAAGGTTTTGTTTCACCGCCACTACTGTCCGGTGTATCTTTTCTCTTTTCTAGAGAGATGTATTCTGCTCAATATTGATAATGTAATTTAGCATCTTCGTAGTGTAACAATAAATAATATTTATATGCTTAAAAAGGATTTACGGAAGAATAGAGGGATATTATTCGTGGAAATGAAACTTATTGGATCATGATCAAGACATATAAGTACATATTATATTCTCTTGTATTCTTTCTTCGGATCATCGTTCGTATTTAACTATAGATGTGGAATATGCGTTCACGCGGAAACAAAAGGTACGAGTAAGCCGACCTTCGTCGAACACGGCCGAGAATACATCTCTCGATTATCCTTGTGCTTTGGGCAGAAGGCTTAGTCACGAAACCGTGAAAAGCATCCAATTACCAGCAGGAAACACACTGCTTATGGGTTTAGCTCCGATTCCAATTCAGCTATCTCCTTAAATGCACTCTCTCTCGTCTGACAATTCACCAACTCCTTTCTAAGCGTATATTGACTCGCGTATAGATCGAATTCGTATATTTCACAAGCCATACAAAAAAGAAATCTTGATATGAATCAGGATTGTGTGCTAAGGTAGTAACTCTGTTTACATTTTCCTCAAAAAAAAGAAAAAGTAAAAACAGAAGTAACAAAAATAAAAACATTCAAAAGTTTGCTTGGTGATATTTCTAAGAGATATCTTTTGAAGCGAAATATTATTTGACTTTTCTGAATCGAAGATATACGACTTTTAGATTTCCAAAGATGCATCTATGACCTAAAGAAATATCCCGAATTCCAATAACCAAATACGATCGAAAGCCTTCGTAGATAGAAAAATATATTTCTGACGTAGTAATGCAGAATGTAGTAAACCCATATTTCTTAGTGTGTCCGCGGAAAAGTCCTGCATTCCACAGCTCGAGAGCAACGGTAGCTCTCCTAATCCGTAGAAGAAGAAGGACTCTGTGCATTCTCTTTGCTGGCATAATAGAAACGAAGATAAAAAACTGAAAGGAGATACTGATTCGAGGCGGTGAAGAGAAAAAGACAAACGGATTGTCTTTGGGAATAATGATAAAGGTACATACAACACTTACGACTAACTCTACTATCGAGTTTGCAGTGATTTATCTAATATTTCCTTATCGGGTTAGAATTCTTTATCGTGGGACACCTGGTAGCGTTCCTCCTCTCCTCTCACTATCTTTTTTTATTTCTTTCTTTTTCTTTTGCAGAACTCATGGGAAAAGTAATCGTCCGATGATGCGACGCCAAGAATAGAACGGTAGGATAAAGCAATACGTTATTATGTTTCTCTGCTTGAAACTCTTTGTCAAGACTGACAGGGCAATTTTATAGATATTACACGAAGATATTACTTTATGGCAGGAATAGAAATCGTGATGTTAGACGTGTCAATGACCTCTTTTTCATTCCGTAAATCTTTTATAAATTTAGATTGACATTGTCATCATTATCATGTTGTCAACTTACTGGCATTTGTAACAGGTAACCTTTCTATTTTAATAGAACCGTCCGTATCGGGTGTTGGTGTAAGACCAGGATATGAACCCGGTGGTTGCGCTACCGTTACCGCAGGATGTGGACTTGTCTGAAAGAAAATAATCCATATTTACTATTATCATAGAAAAAAATTGCGATGTTAACATAATAATCAATTTTTATAGAAGCCATTACCAAATGATCCAACTGCGGTGGTGATGTGTGAGAATAAATAGAACCATGAGGACCGCCAACTAAATGAAGACCTAATTGACTTTCTGCATGGTTCCTGAGAACATTTATGGCATCGTCCAATCGTTCCTCCATCCGCGTTCCCTGTACCAACAGAATACCAGGAATTTGACTCGATTACACGTCGGTTTAAAAATCAATTTTGTCGATGAATAATATCATTATAAACCATCGCGAGCTTTATTCTCACATTATTTTAATATTCTTATTTAACTTTTAATAAAATCATTTGTTTATTCTTTTTTTTTTTATTTTCAATAAGAAAATTCTCAATTCTAATTCGACAAATGTGTAAATATATATATTATAAATGAACGACGGCGATTTGTTGACATGCTCTAAAAAGTACGATCGCTAGTGTTAGTTTTTGTATAAAAAAAAGTAAAAGCGAATACCAGTCTATAAAAAAAATCCCATCTTTCATGAATGAAACGTGTGCTCTGTTTCATGATAAACAAATATTTGTTGTACGGTTTATAATTACACACATTCGTGACCGGCGTTTTATAAATGAGATATTTATCTAGATATCAAATGTAATAATTGAAGTATAAAAGATATTATCGAATTAAATAATATAATACTACAATTTAATAAGTTAAATAAGAAAATATAATAAAAATTTAACGTTCAAATAAAAATTGAATAAACAAATGAATAATTTAAATTTAATATTTAACGGCGTAGAACTATGTTGCCAGTCTCGAATATGTTTAAGGGGACACGTCACCCAAAAAATCGATATTTTTTCGATTTTCTGAAAGAATATTATTTGAAAAATATTCTCTTAAATTTTCGTAAAGATCCGCGCATTATTTACGAAACTGTACTAGTTTAAACGAAGCGCGCCGTAGCGCGACCAGAACAGGTATACGAGCAACTGCGTATACAGGTATACAAGCGCACTCAAGAAAGTACGAAGGAGGCGAGAAAAGCTCGACGGCAATCGAAGGTCACTTCTGCAGAGGCTGCTGATGCAGCAGAGGGTACCTCTTATTGCCCTGGAATCGATGATTCAATGTAAGTATGAATGCAAGAGTTATCTTAACTTTATTCGTTTATTTCTCCTATTCGCGTTTTTAAATCGGTGGCCCACGCTGCGTCTAGACCATTATGCCGATCTTTACCAAAATTTGTACAGTAATACTAGAAACACGTATCTAGGGAATGAACGGAAGAATTTTTTGATAAAATGCAAATTTTTTTTTTCTCGAAAACTCGGCGATTTTTCTGCAAAAAAAGTCAATTTTTTCGTAAAAAGTCGACTATTTTGAGAAAAATTAAAAAATCGAAATTTCCTTCCGTTCATTCCCTGCGTAAACATCTCTATTAAAGGACAACACTCGGTTTTTTTGTTTCAGATGAACCAATTTTTGCCAGTGAGGGCAACCGCAAATCTTCTTTTTTTTGGACTCTTAAAAAGTGGCCACAGACAACACAATTTACAATATTTTTACAAAAAAAAATTATGAATATAGTTCAGAAATATAACTTACATATACCAAAAATTTGTATTGATATTAATAAAACCGGCTGCAGAAAAAATTCACAAAAACCACTTTTTTTTATACTCGAAGGTGACGTGTCCCCTTAAAAAGCATTGGATTTATTTTTAAACGAGCATATAAATTATTGTAGACATTATGAACACACATTGTCATGGTACACGGGCATGCATAAATTAATATATATATTCGTGTTTAATTAGAATAATGTGAAAACTGAATAAGGAATAAAAAAACAAAATCGGCAATCCTCACCTCGACTTGGTCGCGAAGGAAGCCGATGGCATCGTCTAGCCTCTGCTGTTCAGGCGCCGGCTTCACACAAAACACCAACGCAACAACAAAACCAAAAAAAAGAAACAACCAAGTCAACACAACGCTCACAACAAACAAAGAGAAATGGTGAGAACAAAACGTGTAAAATGAAAAGTTGAAACGATTGATTTTGATAATCAAATTTTCATCTCTCTTTCTTTCTTTGCTCTCCCCACCCCCAAAAGTAAAGAATAATAAACTTTAAACGCGAAATATTTCATAAATTTGTTTTAAAAATCGCATACTTTTTGATCACAAATAAAAATTATCTAGAATCCACGCTTGGGAATAAAAATAACGAAGTGATGCGTGCGTGCAGCCATCTAAGCGCTAATTACGCTCTCTCCGTGTCGATTCAAAAACGTTCAAAATATTATGCAAAGAAATTATGTGCTAACATAGTGAAGAAAAAGAAAACAAAAAAAAATGTGATACGAACTTCGTATATGTATGCATGTATTTAAAATGTTTTTTCTTTTTTAAAGCATACCGCTAACGACGAGTTGTGTGTTTACGTTCAAACTCGCATTTAAAATATTCTTTGAAGAGATTTTCATAGTCATAGATTAATATAAACCTGAATGTCGATAAACATTAAAGAAATCGAAAAGTACAATATATAATTAAAAATAGAATTTTTCGACCAGATTATCTCCTCGAAGAAATGCGAATTCTAACAGATTACCAAAGAAGTATCTTTTGTTTCTTCTCTCGAAAAGCTTCAGTGCGTACCATGTGAATAGTGCCACGATTGGGATCTGCAGTAAAATGTGGTGATACCGGTGCAGCACCAGGTGCCCAACTTGGTGTCGATCCCGTTAAAGGTGGTGGCGAACTGACCGGCGTTGATGGGTTACTACTGTAACTCGATACTGATTGGTCCGTGGGAAAGATCTGTATTAAAAACATTTCATTTTAAAATTTTACCAATCGCTAGAATTTCAACAGCATACGCACGTCTGACCGACCCCTAAGCCTCAAATTCTACTAACAGATTCTAATAACTGATTTTAATAACAAATTAGTATTCATGTAATGATAATGACTGTTCATCGCCATGTCAACTGATTAATAAGTTATCGGTTGGCGACAAAAAACCTATTATTAGGTTAGTGATCGGTGAAAGTGTCACGCTTGTGTGTTTTCTCTAATATTGGAACAAGCTGAAGAATTCGTTGGAGTAAACAATTCCTGACCATTTTTATCAGTTTTATTTGCGTAAAAGATTCAAAGATTCTTGAGGAATAAATTTTTATGAAAAAAACATAGATAATTTACACCGGTGGTCACTGCTTAGCTGTTATATAAGCGAGACTGTTCATTGCATTCTGTAAGTCCCAAGAATCAATATAACTTATCAACTTCTAAAATAATAATTGCATCCTGTTTATGTCAGGAGTACAAAGGAATCCGTAAAAAAGAGGATGTCCTGTTTCCACCGATGTAGAATAAACAATTACAAAAGCAAATAAAAAAAAACACCAAATAAAGTATTTCTATTAAAAAACATACAAAAAGATGAAGTAGCATATTGGGCCAATTTTTTATAAATAACGATTCAATAGTTTGACTGCTTTCATTCATGTTTATCATCAACAATCAATATAAGTTACTTCGTATAGTCTCATATTACAGTTTTTCTAGGCAGAAGTAGAGACAATATGAGCCGTTTTTATCTGAAAGTAACATATTAAATTTATTGTTATAAAATTGTTTAAACAGAAACATTTTTTTTTCATTTGCATATGTATGTAAATAATAGATGATTTTCAGTTACAACAATTTTTTTTTTATTTATAACAAAAATTCTGCCCATAGAGGGTTAACTTATTTATGCCGGCATTTAAATTCATTCAACAATCTTTACGATTTAGATGAAGTTTAATTGACTTAGTCATTTAGCTTGGACTTAGAAAATTCATGTTTCTCTCATAGACAACTATATGTTGCATGCTCACGTGTGGGCAACCGGAGAATCTATTTGTGTTAGTAAAAGACAGGTTAACAAAAAGTATTGTGCAATGGTTAGCGCTTAATTAAATTAAAATTATTAATTGTTATAATTTACAATGATAAAAATAATCTTAAAAATTGCTAAAAATCAACGTTATTTACTCCTTTTATAAAATTAAATCTTTATATATTATTAATTAACAACTTTATAAACAATTCATTTAATATACTATACTCAAATAAATAATACTCAAATATGAGATGAATAAATTGTAAAATATTCTATATTTTAAGTTGGAACAAATCACACAAAATAAAAAAAACATAAAAACTTATTTTTAAGATAGGTTGAGTAGTTTCAAAGTTATAAGTAGTTGTAAGTAGACAAACATTGTGATACTGAATTTTTATATATGTAGATTTACGTATGATACCTTTTGATTATTATACAAACAGTGACTACGAAAAAGAAGAAAATAAAAAAAGAAAACGTACTCTTGTGCTCACTACTGAGGCTAGAGTTTTGCCAAGAGTGTCCCCCGTAGGTGGTTGTTGATTGTTGGTGGGTGCGGCGTTTGGCGCCGATGGTGCAGTGGTTGGTGCGCCAGGACTATGACTATATTGCAAAGATGCTGGAGAAGGTGCTCCAGTGCCACTGTTCGCTGCTGCTGCTACCGCAACAGCCGCGCTACCCCGGAATGTCGACATCGGCGGAAGTGAAGCCGCACTGGTCACAGCCGAACCAAGGATCGGCGCTGCTGGTTCACCGTTCGGTGACATCGATGAGTATGCCTGCAAACGTTTCCGATGTTAGAAGAACAAATAAAAGAAAAAAGACACAAATCAACAAAAAGCAACAAGAAAAAACATGTTTCACTTCATTATAAACTTTTATGTCTATACATTGTGGGGATAGGTAATATGCAGGGAAACACTTTTATACATAGCAAATAATAAGTTTAATTTATTCAAGAGGTAATGTTAGATTATGTATTAATTTAGAAAAAGGTACATGAAACGAACACGACGCATTGTTCAAGAGCGTTCTTCTCGTCTTCTCGCGGTAAAAGTCTCTTATACGTTTCTTTTATTCTCGTCTATTAAAGAAACCTTCAATGCGTTCGTAAACACGTTAACTCTTTCAACAATAACTCGAAAATATATATTTAGATTTTAAATTCTCAACGCTAACATCTATCCTACAGTTAAAAAAATGTAAATAGAATATCATTGAGCGAAATTATTTCCTAAAAAAGATAATTTTCATTTGTAACTCATTTTTTAACAAAATAAAATCTTTACTTTTCAACGGACTCTTTTTTTCCTCTTTATATTACTTCGCTTTAAACTTAAAACATCAGCTTTGATATCGGATATGCCTAACGGAATAGCGCTCTCTTGCACCTACTGAAATTGCTCGTAAAACGTCTAATTTTAAGCACCGTCGAGGGCGTAGAGAGGCACATATTTATCAACAAATTAAGAGCTCGGGCGCCTACGAAAAGTTCGAATTGTAGATCAAGTCACGATTGACTGTACTTGACTGGAGTATGGTGTCTTCTACAATACTTTCTTTTTTTACAATACTTTTTGTTTCTTTTTCCATCATTTTGGTACTAAAGCAATCTCAAGGACGTCTACAATAAACGAGGTGTACTTACTTCTTAATAAAAACAGATTAAAAAATAAGTCCCATTACTCTGAGGGGGCCTCGTAGCCGTGAACCGTGACACTACAAATTCGCAAATCTTATAAATAATTTAACGAGATCGTTTTTTCTTTTTCTCAGAATAATCTCTCAAATCGAATCGAAGAAAATTGAAGAGAAAGACAGATGAAAATATAGACAAACTAATTGACAATGCAAGGAAGGAAAGGAAGAGAGTGGGGCGGGGGGAGGAAGAGGATGGATGGATAGATGGATGGTAGGGTATCCAGGATGCCACGAAGAGGAGAATTTCGTGGTAACCATGGACAACGTAAATCAAACGAAGGCTGCACTTGACTAGAAACACGAAGTAGCGGGAGGGCGATTCTATATATAGCATCCAATGACTCATTTGACGTTACTCCGCGTACATGGAGCACTGTCAACAGTGCCTCTCAACCAGTACTCGATCTCTACACTCCTCGATTTGATTTACGCTACGTCGAGTCAACGAATCAATTCGAAGGTCATCTTTCAAAAAAACCTCCACCCATCTTTTTGTATTTCACTTATGTTCTTTCTTCTTATCGTCTAACTCTAACTGATCCTACCAGTACAATTACAAAACGTTGTACGTTAATGCACCTTTAGATGTAAGATGTTTTTCGAAGTTAAATTTTTTCTCTTATGATTCGTTAAAAAAAGTTGAACAAAAAATGTTCGTAGAAAGAGGGAAAGTCAGAGCAGTCGATGATCGATCGTTCTTTGTCAAACTTTCTCGAATAAAGAAAAAGAAGGGAATAAATCTAGAGGGAAAAATGTGAGAAAACTTACCATGGGATCATGGGATATGTGCATGGGGTAGGCTGGTTGAGCCAGGTGAGGGGGAGCGTATCCGCTATACGGGGGTTGTTGAACACTACCGCCACCTCCCGTCCATGGATCACTAGAACCCGTACCCGCTGCATTTCCATCTGTAAGTGAAAAACAACAAATATTTCATTGATTATGTTATTTACTTAACTAGTAACTGTGTTTGACGAGCGTACTCGTCATGAAGAAGTGACAGGATTTTTTCATGACGAGTACATTCGTCATGCTTATAAAGTAGTAACAATTGGTTATTTAAATTGTAGTTTTTGTGAAAAAGGAAACATATTCTTAAATTTCAAGATGTTTAGAATATTTTGAAGTAAGGCTGGGATAAAAAGTTGTGAAAAGAGATATAGGACATCCCAGTGACACTTATTCTGTGTTTGACGAACGTAATCGTCATTGGTCGACTTGAGCGACGCACAGCGGTGCGCACTTTCAAATCGGAGCACTACAGTTAACACTTGGCCGACCGATCGGGAAGATCTCCCATATTAACTTTAGCAATGCGTTTCTTTTTCTTCTTTTATTTATCTACATAGTTGCCTTTATGTTTTGTATAAACAATATGTGAAATCGTTAAACGAAATTATTAGTACCGAATATCAGTCTGTGTCAATTGCGATCCCTGCATGGTGAAAACCGTACAGTTCGCTGCGGCACGCGTGATCGGGCTAAGTGTTAACTGGATAATATCAGTGAATAGTACACATGATTTTGATTCGTAACAAGTATGGTATCAATGATCTTTTAAAAATTAGTATTTAAACTAAATATTTATACTATATTGTTATTTTTGTTATTATAATTATAATAAGATTCCTTTTATCTTGACGGTTAACCTGATTTTCAGAATAATTTCATTGTTCATTTGTTTGTTATCCATACTATTTGTCTCTTTATAGAAAAGGCTAAGATTACTATACATATACAATTTATGTATAACCACAGAATTAGATTACAGTCAATCGATAGGGGCAATTTTCACAAGGACGACACTCGAAAGCGTGGTACAACAAATAGTGGCACGTGGCATGTTCGATGACCAAAGGATGTCACACACGTGCTCGTATACATAATGGCCAACGAAAACGTATTAAAATATGTTTTGCCTCAATGGTAAATCCCAATCACAAACAAATACATTTTCATAATCTTTTAATTCAATTAAGGCTCGATATATTTCTTTGTGATATCTCATATAAAAGAAAATTATTCGCTGAAGGTATAAGCTTTTTTTAGTTGGGAACAACGACAATAAGCTGTCCACGGACATTATTCTTGATACTTTTCCTTGATATAATTTCTTTTTCTAGATCCTGGGCTAGCTTTCATGATGAGAGAAACGAAACTAAGCCAAACTATTCGGAGTATTTCTACAAACTACCCAGTATTCAATGCTTGATAAAACTTTTCGCCTCTCGTATCGTCTCGTGACTTCCATTTATAAGCCGCTGGGAAGGCCTGTCTACCGAGTGTCTTTAAATAAAAAATATCTTTTTTCTATCTATTATTTATATGATTCTTTTTAATATTACAAACATGGTACACAATGATTTTAATGAAAAATATATTATTTTCTTTTGTTACGTTTCGTATACTTTCTTCCGTAAGTTTATGATTTTTTTCGATAAAAATTAAGAAGGTTTAACTAATTATAATTTAAATAATTATAACAATGAAAGAAAAAGACAAAAGATGAAATCCTTATTATTAGAATTCCATATAAAAGGAATGTTCAAAGAATTTGTTAATAATGTTAGCATATATAATAATAAATTCAATCAATTGAGTTAAATTAACATATCAATAAAACATGCACAGATACGAATTTTAGTTTTTCCATTCATCTTGAGGAAGAACTACGTCATAAGAACGTCAGATTATAATGTCTGGTCTCACTGTTGGATTTATACACAGGTGGTCGTTTCTGGCTTCTTGAAAGCTAAATTCGCCACTGTCTAATCTTCGAGAAAGTTCCTTGTAGTGCGTAAAAGTACATTAAACTCAATATAATATTTTACTAGCCACGACCAAATGCGTACGACCTTATATATTATTTTGTATTTAAGCTAACAATATGATTAACAATGTACAATAGATTCTAAGGACCAATTTAGAACGTAACTGGTGCCTTTTTTTTAGTATTTATCAAACGATCGCTATCATATCGCGCAGTTGTAAACTTGTACTTCTTTAAATCTTATGCCATTTGTGCGCTTATTAAAAATTCTTGGAACTATAAATAATTTAGAAGATTTCCTTTATCTTTGTTCATAAGAATGTATTTGTTTAAATTCTCGTAACCTTACGACCGCCGAATCTAGCTTCGTAAAATAATAAAAACCTTCTAAAACTTTAAATCAATCAGAATTAGAGATGTTAATATCTTTAATCAGGAGAAAGTAAATTTTGTATTTTCAAAAAGTCCTAATTTAATTAACTAAGTGTACCTAAAAAAAATTAACCAATTGTAAGGATATCGAAAGTTCATAATCCCACATATAGTAATTTATAAGAAAGTGGTTTCTAATAAACATAAATAATCTAAAGTTCTAATGTTTAATTCTAATTTATTTAAATGATATGTATTTCACAATATCTTAGTAAGGACTCTCTTCTAATCTTTTATCAAATCCTATTGTTTACCTTCTTACTAACTCACTAACTCGCTAAGTAACTTCTTATTCTTTACTAACTCTCATTGTCCACCGTTCCCAGTTCTTATGACTGTTATTTTCCTCATTTTTCCTCTTTACCATGTTATCTCACTCACTCTTTCACTACAACATAGGGAAAGCTATACCTACAATAACCACGAACAAAGGTTTTATGGTTTCCAGATGTATCGATACCTAATAATAGGACAACTTACCCTTGCCTATACCTAGTAAAAGAGAAAGTCTATATTTTTCAGATATCCTTTTAATTTTTCGAATTTCCAAAAATAGCGTAAACGATAGAGAATAAGACGTTTCTTGAATATTTTACACAGAAAAGTTTATATTGTATTCGTCATTCGATAAATTTAATAATAAATTAATTAATAAATTTCTATTCTACATTCTATGAAATCCGTATAAATTAATAAGGCTACATCCACAGCTTGTAAAATTGTTGATTAGTTAATAAGTTTGTATTTCATATTTTATGAAAATGATACTAAACTGCTAAGTCTATACCCATAAATCAATAAATCTGCAATTTAGTTAGAACACTTTGAATGCTCTGATAACTTTTACTGAACATTGTTCACCTATCATCGCAATGAAACCTATCTTAAATCAATACACTACTTGTGAAAAGGAAAGTAACTTGGATTTTTTATTTTTAATACTTGTCTTCAGGCTCGTTTAATTTTCAGACTATGTTCCTGCCACATTTTCTTTCATTCTATCGATCTGTCTTCTGACTCGTCGCTCTGTATTGACTTAACGTTCTAGGTCAATTCCTGTTAAAAATTTTACAACCCGGCTAAAAACTGATCATATTAAATCACCTTACATAGAGGACGTAACATTTTTATTATTTTCATATTTTTAAACGAAACAAAGGTTTAAAAAAAGTAAATCATAAATATAATTGATTTATCACGATTTAGATTGATGAATCATACGTGTATATGTCTGAAAAAGATTAAGCTTAATAAACTAATATCTCTTTCTTTAATACCATATCGTACCATTATTTATCGATTGAATCATTTCGATATCAGACGAAAGAATGAAATGTAGACAACATATGCGTACATACTAAATGTTTTAGAATAACTATTATTACTTTTTAAAATATTAAACTTAACGAAACCAGTAATATGTGCTCGATTCTTACTCATATGATATTTATTATGTTTTAATACCATTATTTAATATACATACAGTTATCTTCTTATAACATTTAATCACTTATAAGCTTAACCGAAATAAAACAACATTTTCTTAACATCTTTGTACTCGTTTACTATATATCACTATTTTCATTGCTAATATTCACCTTTTTCACACAACTAACTAAAACAAAAGAATCGCAAGTACATTGTTACCAACTCGAAATATTTTACTTTCTCACAAGGACGCTGCGAAATATTACCTAATTTTCGTAATTTTTATTTCACTTGCGAATTGTGTGAAATTGGGTTTCGGTAGTTGTTGTGATAAAATCTAAATATCGCGCGAAAATCAATGTAAAGAAGAAAACGAGAGCTAAGTTAAATTTAAATCCACGACTTAAGAAAATGTGTGGCAATTAACAATCTCATCCATTCCAATAATTATGATAATTAGTTGAATTTGCTCAATTACATTTTTTTTGTGAAATAAACTGTGTTTTATTTATTTTTATCTAGTCAATGTAAAAAATTATTAGAAGTATATGACAAAAGAACATTTGACATAGGACACTTTTAGAAAATTTGGTTTCAGCAAAGATGTTGAAAATAGAAAAATTTTACCCTGTTTTAGTTCTTCCTTATTTTTTTTTGTAAATCCAATAAAATGTTTTTTTTTTCAAACGTAGTAATATTTGGAAATGCTTCCTTATCGATATTATTATCAATATTAATTGATAATAATAATCGACCATAGATATTTCGAAAAATTTTTTGTGCAGTCATAAAACGTTATTGTTTGGATATCAACAACAAAGTATGATGATTGGAATTTTTGACAATGTTTATTATTGCTTTTATAATATTTCCACAAAAAATAATTCACTAATTTGTAGCCATTAGAATTAAATAAGAGATTTGTTATTTAACTTTGCTATTATTTCAAGTCCTCATTTCTTTCATGTCATATTATCTCGATACGGAGGCGTTTCCGTATTACAAAAGGTTTCCGGTTTAGTTTACTGCAAAAAGATATTTAATTATATGTCCTTTATAATAACATCAGAACATTAGGAACAGTTATTTTGAAATACCCTATATATAAGTACATATATATTTATATACGATTATTAAAATATTTCATACGTAGGAATATTCTTTTATTTTTTGTTTTTAATTCCTTTTTTTTTTTTTATCAGAAAACGGATATTCGTAAATCTTTGGAACGAGAGAGCTTCGACATTCGAGCATTGAGCACGAGCAAATAACAAGATTGTTATTGTTTTTGCGCGCGACAGACAGAGCACCGAATTTTACGATCGAGCGTTAAACAGCTGAATATTACCGTGATCGTAAAGTCGTTTTATCGTCCATTAGAATCGTTATGCGATTTCGAACTAATATAAAGATACCTAGACACATATATACGAATTTACGTTTATACGTGAATCAGTAATATGTGTATCGGTCGCATATAAAATACGAATAATGATGAAAAAGTCATTTTTAACTTACCGATATAATATGTATCACTATAGATGGCCGCAGCTTTTGACGAGGTATATCTCGGAGAGTCTTGTGCGAATTCGTCCGAGCCATACTGTAAAACAAAAAGTTAAAAAAATTTTTAACAACAACAACAACCAAAAGAAACATATTACTTACAAATTTTGATGATATTGTAAGTTAATTTGTTATTATTAATATATCATATCATACCAGATTATAACTATAAATATCGTTAACTGATTTTTTGTCCAAATTTTGACTTAAGCCATTTTCGAAATAAATTAATTTTTACGTTTATACGATAAATCAAATGAAAAAAATTTGACGTTTTATCGTTGAAGGAGAAATAACGCAGGAAATGTCGATTGAACTTTTGGTTAAAACAACGCTTTTATATACCTGCTCACCCACCTTAGGATGAACAATTTAACTATTGCTATAGTGCATGGTAGCTTCTCTATTTCTCTCTTTCTGACAAGAATAATATAGCGATTAATTCAACGACATAAACGAGAACGTACGACGCATGTAAGAAAAAATCAACCGAGCTTCAATTTAACGTAAACTTAGTTATAAGTACTGCCAGGACGATTGTACAATCGTAAAATATATACAATCGATATTTTGCTTCATCGATTGTACTTAAGGGGGGATATGCATTTTGAAAAAAAAAAATCGATTTTTTTTAATTGCATTTTCTAAAAGTATATCATTTCGAAAGTATTCTGTCAAAATTTCATAAAGATGTGACCTTTATTTATGGAGATATTGTAGACGAAAGAAATAATATGTAATTCTTTCTTTATTTTATCTCCTGTTTAAATACGCTATCGTAGACGAAAGAAATAATATGTAGTTCTTTCTTTTGTTTATCTCCTATTTAAATTCGCTATCGTAGACGATAAGATTAATATTTTTTTCTTCCTTTATTTTTATTTTCTTTTTGAATATTCTATCGAATTTTTTCGACAATTGAACGAAGTACACCAAGGTGTACGGACATTAAATTTTACTGTAGCTTTCTTACGTAGTAGTGTATTTTTCCCCCAAAATGTATTCACATAAAGTAACTAGAATGTCAAGAAGTGGTTATTCTGGGCAAATATCGCGGCCAAAAAAGAGGAAGCAGTATTTCAACCCAAAGGACACGAAGGCCTGTGATAGCGGAATCAGTGCCTCTGCGAAAAAACTGAAGACTGGAAGTGTCTATGAAGAACTTAAAAATACTATGATAGAATACAGAATTTTGAACTTTTTAACAGTGTTTTCTACTCTTTCAACAATTGTAAGTTGTACAAAGTGTAAGGGAGAAATAAATTTTCTAGTGGCAAAAGAACACGGCCTTGGTTTTAATCTTGCTGTAGTATGCCAAAAATGCGGTACTCAATTTATACCTTCTTCGCCATACATCGGAACTAGCTATGAAATCAATCAACAAATCACATTAGTAATGCGTTTACTAGGTGTTGGTTTCAAAGRTGTTACGAAGTTTTGTGCTTTGTTGGATATGCCGTATTTTGTAAAGCAGGCTACTTATAAAAAGATACTAGAAAACATATACTTGGCATCTAAACAAATAGCTGAATTTTTCATGAAAAAAGCTTGTCAARAAGWAATCTCTGAAAAWATACTAAAAAATYCTAACWGCAAAGAAAYTGATTTGACAGTGCACTGTCARYTGGTATTGCGTCATATATCGCTACCTGTCAATTTAACRAAGGTAYAAATGGTCTATTAGCTGTCTTTGATGCGTTAGGAGTTCAACTTGGGTCTTTTGCTCATAAATTTGCCGCTGACGAAGACGAGATTCGAATCAAGAAGTCAAATAAACGCGCTGAAGAAAATACAAAGGAGGCAAGAAAGGCTCGACGACAAAAAAAAAATGCTGAAGTCGAAGCTGCAGACAAGGAAGAAGGTACTTCATATGGTGCTGGAATCGATGAAACTATATAGGAAAAAATTTCATTAAGTAATATACTTTTTTTAAACGTTTTGGTGTTTTCAAACTTTAAACGCGTTTTTCTCGAAACTATGTTTTCAAAGTCGGTGAGTAAGAAATCTCACTAACGGCTTAACCGATTGCTTTCAAATTTTAATCAGTTATTAAAAGTATAATAAAGAACAGATTGAACGATCGGTTTTTTATTTTTAATTAATATATTTTTTTTTAAGCCGATAAATAGGCGTTTTTTTGGTAAAAAAACAGAACTATTTTTTCAAAAGTGCGTCATTTTGTTAAAAATTAATATTTTGGAAAAGTTGATCGTTTAATCTGTTAAGACACATCTATACAAGGTATTTGCAATGATTTTGTTTATTTGAGATGATCCAGTAAAGATTCTTTACTCACCGCAAACCACCTTTTTTTTGGACATCACACAGATTGGTTATAACTCGGTTGTGTCTCAATATTTTTACATAAAAAAATTACTTTATTATCTTCAAACATGTATATTTTGAACTAAAGATTATTCGTCAAAAAATATAAAGCCATTTTTCCAAAAAAAAATCGTAAAAAAAGCGTTTTTTTCGGGCCTCTAAAGATATATCCCCCCTTAACAGTTTTTTGTCCACTAGCCGATTCATCGGCTTTTTCATTGTTAGAAACAAATGCACGCGCGTTTAAGCCGGTACTACACTGAACGGCAGTCTCAAAAAATAAGCGGTCAATAAAGTGTTAACTTCGTTGAAGAACTTGAACCTACATGAGATTTATTATTATTATTATTATTATTATTATTATTATTATTATTATTATTAATCGGCATTAGAAACTTCATTGTCCTCATTGCATTAGGAACTTCAATACCAAATCTCGCCAGTGATTTGGTCGCTGGTCAGGTCGTCCCTGAACGCGACCCCTCCATTCGTGGTCTTCGTAGCCTATTTTTTTAAGAACATTAGATTAATTATTTGGATTAATTTCAATTATTTATTAATTCATGATACAGTTGTTACCGTTTGTGATGAAAAACAAAGAAAAAAAAAATACTTTTCTGAGTGGGCAAAGTAATCTTTTTTATCGCATATTTCTGCTTAAACGTGCCCATAGCCACGCATTTACGTGGGACACATATATGCGTTTCTCGGCTCTATTAACTGTTATCGTGGAACGCATATATGAGTTCTTCTACCTGTTAAAAAATAAAATGTTAACTGTAATTCAAAAATTCCATCTTCCTTTTTTACTTGCGCAAGATGTTAAAAAATTTATTTTTTTTTTAATTTTTTTTATAATAATTTCTATTCTATTTCCTGTATATAATTAAAAGAAAACTAATATGAAAAAAATGTTTAATCTTATGAAAAAAAGCCTTCTCCATGAAGAATTAAACACTAATAATCGACATAAGTAAGGAGAACGCTACTACTTACGCTAAAGAATCATTGAATAAATGTTTACATTTAAAAAGATATAACAAAGATATAATTAAAAAAAAGCTTGTGAAAAGAATTACCTGAACGTCGATCAATTCCCGGAAGTGGTTAAACATGTGGAAGTCTTTCTAAACAATTTAAACGTTGATACAAGGGATTTAAAGAAAAATAATTTAGAATAAAAATTAACACGTTGAACGCAACGCGAATTCTTATCGAAATTTTCGTCAGGCCAGGCGCGCTGCTAAAAAGCACTAATATTGCAGTAATACAAAGCGCAATACTAGTAAATTAATATTTGCTCGATGGAAATATGTAAAAATATTAGTATTATTTCTCCTTTATTTCAGAAAAAAATGAATTATTCAAATCTGTAATAAATAAAAATTAGATAAATTTTAAACAAATGTTTAGTAATTGCATAATAGTATATTACTCACCTAGGGAGCAAAGTATGGCATTCCGACCCGTGTAAATTCTCACCCGAGCCGAAGGCGAGGGTGACAAAAACGCGGGTCGGGATGTCATACTTTGCTCCCGTGGTGAGTATACAATTTTTTCTCACACCTGGATCGAAAGTTCGCTTGTAATTAAATAATAATATACTAATTTTCTACCAGGGCGAAAAGCACCTACTTTTCTCCCGCTGCATCTGTAACAAACGAAGTTGCCGCTTCCCGCCTTCCTCTTTTCTCGCTGCGTAGAACGAAGTTGTCGCTTTCTTACTATACTGTCCTAGGTATGTAATATACTATTTTATTTGTTGTCAATTAATACATTTTGCGAAGATTATGCAAATTTAACAACAATCAAGGGGTCCAGGGGTGAAACCCCTGATGGGGGCCTGGGGGCGAAGCCCCCAGAAAAAAAAATCAGGGGGGTCCGGGGGCACAGCCCCCGGC